ATAGATAGATAGATAGATAGATAGATAGATAGATAGATAGATAGATAGCGGTTCATTCCGCTTTGGTAACCCCTGATAAATAAGGGATTAAGCCGATTATAGATAGATAGATTGAGAGATAGATAGATAGATAGATAGATAGATAGATAGATAGATAGATAGATAGATAGATAGATAGATAGATAGATAGATAGATAGATAGATAGATTTTAACAATAATAATCATTTAAAGCACATGTCATGATGTGTAAATTGATAGGTACTCTATATCTTTAGGATATTACGCAATAATCAATTATAAATTAATTAAGTAAAGTTGTAATCATGAATGCTGCATTTCCATCTGCATTTGGCTGGACTTTGTGTTTTATTTAATTAACCTGAGTGAATTTCTAGCTGGCCTTTAGCAGGCTTTTACGTTTTCCATTTATTCTCCAAACAGATGCATGTTATCACTTTATACAGCAGGGAATCACACACATTCATTCTGACACTGTTTTCAGCAGGGAAAATCTTGTCAAGCGACTCTATTGACATCCAGCCAGCCAAATACCTGGAGCGCCTGAGCAGCAGAAGTGGGCCAGAGGAAATTTTCCCGGTGCTCTGGACACCAGCTAAACCCCCCTAGTGCAATTTAGAGTTGGCAATGCAAGTCCATGTGTTTAGGGAGACCAGCAAAATCAGGTGTTCTGTCACGATCTGGACGAGCACAATAATCGAAAGGCTGGATTCGACAGGAATTGGCATAGTGAAATTACACGTTCTGCTTCATGGCTCTCTGGCATTTTCGTTAAACGCACCTGATGGGTAATAAGCATTTAGGCGACTAGTCAAATGCTTATTAGCGTCTGGAACAGGGGTCGGCAACCTGAGGCTCTTTATCCCCTCTGCTGTGACTCTCAAACAACATGTAAATATATAGACTGTATATATAAATGAAGTATTTTTGTTACACATTAAGCAATGTTGTGAAGGGAACAACTCTTATCTTGGAATTCTATGTGACTATTGTTAAAACATAATTTTCCTGTCTACATCCCATAATTTCAATTTTAAAGACGTAAGTCTGAACTTTACATACTTGGCATTGAGAAACAGCCACAGACTTAGAAAAACAAATACTATGGAAGTCCATGATTATCAATTTCTTCTTTAGAAGTAGAAAGCCAAAGAAAGAAACTCTAAAAGGTTTGCCAAAGTGAAGGGTGAATAAATGATAACCAAATGTTCAGTTTTGGATGAACTCTCCCTTTAATATTGGACATTTGATTGACATTGTTCTGTTCATTTTAACAAGTCTTCAAAACGTTGTTAATTATGGTGGCTTGGGAAAGCCAACTTACTGTTATACTACATAAACTTAATATTCTTCTTGTTCTTTTTCTTCGGAGACAAATTTCTATGCGCATCTCCTCCTAGATTGTTCAACGACCAAACTAACTCCAAACCTCCAAACTGGTCTGACTCGGGTTGCTATATCTTTTTCAACTGATCTGACTCACGGTTTTCCAGAAACTGACCTGGAAAATTTGGAAAAGTCGCATTGACTTTACATTGGACCAAACTTTGTGAGCTCATAATTTTGCGCCGTACAGACTTAAGGTTGGGCTCATTTGACTACCAATCTGCCAATCACTGATGAGCTTTCAACTTATGGCACCCTAGCAACTGTCTCATAGACTTCCATTGTTAAAAACATGAATCATGCATCACAAACCAAGATTAAATCTGATTGGATATTTTCCAAAAAATGTCCCTCAATCACATTCTCATCTCGTTTTTATCAGTCAATTAAAATGTCAGTATATTTTGATTATAGTTGTCGTCATCATCACTTCGTTTTGTAAGTTTTTGTCGGTAAAAACTTGTTTGTCATAAAAATTATGCCGTTTTTTTTTCCGACAACGAAATTAACTATTAAACATAAAAATTTTTCTTTAAAACAAAACTATCTGCACATCAGTACAAAAGTTTTGTCATAGATAATAATGAGTAGGCCCACATGGAATCTGTGTGCGCAGAAATCAGCAGATTTATAGCTTGTCATTTAGCCTATGTATTTACTTAATACCGAATCGATGACATGATAATCGTAACTGAACTTTGAGACCAATGTAGGTTCTCACCCCTTGTTAAAAATGTATTATTTTTAATGTCATATATTACGTTTTTAGTTATGACTCTCCTAAAATCCTTTTGCATAAATCCACAGATTTATTTATTTTTTTTGCTAAATTCTCAGCAGAAATAGCGAAAAATGTCCGCAGCCCGTAAATTATTAATGTTTATTATTTTATAACCTCCACAAACAGCTGTGTACATGAAAACAGGGATCTATTTTGGGTGTATAAAAAATTTGGGCGTACACTAACGATTCACTGTTACTAAAATCACAGATTTTCCACGTTTCGTGGTAAACATACATAAATGAATTGTGCATTACGTCGCCTTGAAGATGCTTGATGCTCAAAAAGACCTACATTACTATTTAGTGCACTTTAATGTAAGATTACCCATGCCATGCTCCTTTTTTATTATAGTTTATCAATTGAAGAGTTCAGATGCAAAATCCTCTATATCCATCCAACCTCTTTTCTTGTAAATGAGCATTTTCTATCAGGTTTCTCTGATTAGGTTCAGAAGTTTTATTTTATATGTAATGGAAAGGTTATTAGCTAGTACATAAATACCTTTTCTTTTTCAAAAATCTCCCTTTAGACAATTCTTTGTTTACTAGGTAGATTTTCTTTTGCATCAAAACCAGCTAAATCCACTTCTGCTTTTTTTGCAAAAACCTCTAAATCCACATATTGGGACAAGACAGTGTAATTAGTTGAAAAATCATTAAATATGCAGTTTTATATAGTTGTATAGTTTATATATTATATTTATATTTTATACAATAGCTTACATTAGGGGGCGACGCAGTGGGTAGCACGTTCGCCTCACAGCAAGAAGGTCGCTGGTTCGATCCTCGGCTCAGTTGGCGTTTCTGTGTGGAGTTTGCATGTTCTCCCTGCGTTCGCGTGGGTTTCCTCCGGGTACTCCGGTTTCCCCACAGTCCAAAGACATGCGGTACAGGTAAATTGGGTAGGCTAAATTGTCCGTAGTGTATGAGTGTGTGTGTGTGTGTGTGTGTGTATGTGTGGATGTTTTCCAGAGATGGGTTGCGGCTGGAAGGGCATCCGCTGCGTAAAAACTTGCTGGATAAGTTGGCGGTTCATTCCGCACTGGCGACCCCAGATTAATAAAGGGACTAAGCCGACAAGAAAATGAATGAATGAATGAATGAATGAGCTTACATTAGCAAATAAAACACAAGGTAGGCCTACTGGGCAAAATAGTATGTCTCTCAGACAATTTCTCATCCTCCTTCTCAAGGTCTTGGTGTCTTTTCCGTCACTTGTTTACCTTCATAGCATCCATGTGGGATAAAAGAACAAGATCTTAACTTCGTCTTTCATGAAATGGAGTTGCTGTTAAATGTATTTTTAATTGGACTCATTCAAAGTAGCGTTACTGTGCAAAGACACGTTTTGAATGCATGCCACACTTCTGACTGTACATTGTGTTTTTTTTCTTAGAATGCTTAAAGTTTTGAGGCAAGGGACGTTTTGATTTGCTATTCAGTGTCAGTCGGACAGGTTTATCCATATTTTAAAATCTACTTGTAAAACAGTCTCCCCGAAAAAGCCAGCATATCAGCGCGCTGCTACATTAAAAAACATGATTCGATTTGCGCCTTCTGATTGGTTAAAAGGACATAGTGGCTTTTGCTGTCAAAGCCAAGTGGCGTTTAGAGGCAAACAAACTGTTATTTCTGAACAGGCTGACTCTGGGATTTAGATGATTAAAAATAATTTTTTAATATATTTGTTGTACTACGTGCCTAAAGCATTCACTCAATGTCATTAGCTCATTTTGGCGGAAGTGGAGTTTAGCAGGTTTTGCAGCTTAACTCTTCAATTTAAAATATGCCAAAAATTGTAATGTTTAAATTTCCTTTGTTTAACTGCCTTTTGTTTTTTCCTGCTATATTTTCGAGTTTTTCTTAGTTGGGTAAACTTAGAGAGCAGTGAATAGGAAAGTGCCACAAATAATTTTTTTCTATTCCTAATTGCTCAAATAATAAAAGAAATACTCTACAATAGTCATCACGATTTTCAAAAAAGCAGCAGCCGGAGGAGTACAAAGTCATATTTACTGTCCCACCCATATACTACACTGCATTACAAACACCTCACATAAGTGGTAGTTACAGCAGCAGTAGGTCATTGTCTCTGAATTTTTTGTTTTGTTTTTTGAGACTACCTAAGGAAAGTCTTTTCGCTTATCCGAGTTTTAGGAACAACAAATAATAACTTGACTTCTAGTTGATCATTTGGTATCAGAAGAATATAAAGTCATGCTGTAGTGGAAAAAGAATTAATATTGTGTATGGCTCCCGTGAGCTTGGAGGACTGCATCCATACATCTCTGCAATGACTCAATATTAATAAAGTCATCTGGAATGGTTCTTGCAGGACTCGCAGAGATCATCAAGATTCTTTGGGTTCATCTTCAATGCCTCCTCCTTTATCTTACCCCAGACTTGCTCAATAATGTTAATGTCTGGTGACTGAGCTGGCCAATCCTGGAGCACCTTGACCTTCTTTGCTTTCAGGAACTTTGTTGTGGAGGCTGAAGTATGAGAAGGAGCGCTATCCTGCTGGAAAATCTGCCCTCTCCTGTGGTTTGTAATGTAATGGGCAGCACAAATGTCTTTATACCTCAGGCTGTTGACGTTGCCATTCACTCTGCAGATCTCTCACAAGCCCAAATACTGAATGTAACCCCAAACCAAGATTTTTGCTTCACCAAACTTGAATGATTTCTGTGAGAACCTTGGGTTCATGCAGGTTCCAATAGGTCTTCTGCAGTATTTGTGATGATTGAGATGCAGTTCAACAGATGATTCATAGGAAAAAGCTACCTTCTGCCACTTTTGCAAATGATCGACTAGAAGTCATTATTTGTTGCTCTTAAAACTAAAATTGACGACAAGACTTTCGTCAGGTAGAGTATAAACAACAAATTCTGTTATATTAATTTAATCCTTAAATATGCTTTGTGGCTTATTTTATTTGGTGGTAGAAGGGCCAAAATGAGTCTTTTGGTGGCAAAGGTTGCCGACCCCTGATCTCAAACTAAACATTACGACTCTAAATCCAATTTTTTTTGTTTTTCAGAACCATTCGGCGTCCATGACTGAAGTCACATGACTAAGGGGGCAACACCGGGTCACTTTCGCGTCACCTCAACACTTCTAGGCACAAAAAGTTTTTTTGTACTGTGGCATACTGTAAAAAAAAGAGAGAAAACATGACAGTATTATGTTGTAACTAGTTGTACCTAGAAGCAGCTGTTTTGTACATTTTGTATAAGAGAGTCCTGTAGCTTTCCCTCATAATGTCAACACACTGCTCAATTCATGTCCAGATTTCTGCCTTCTTTGTCATGTTTTACATCACAAAGTAAATATATACAGTCTATATATATAATGTAATTCAAATATCGATGTGTCGTTATGTGGTATTTGTACAAAGAATGATTTTATTTACGCTATTTGTTTTCTTGTACATTTCTGAACAAAGATCATTTTGTATTCTTTTTGTTATCTGTATAAAGCATTTTGATCGACTTTTGCCTGCTGATTTTCCAGGAATGTTTTTGGTATACCTATTTTTTTGGTGTAAGATTGTAAAGAAAACTTGTTGAATTGTTACACGTCGTTGACTCGGATTCTCCTCTGGCATCTTCGAATGGCCATGTACTCAGCATGAAATACACAACACTGTTTGAATAACCTGTTATTTCCGACTTGTGTTTTGTTTTTCTTTAAAGTTTGCATTTCGTTTGAAATGCTAAATATATTTTCTTGAGTAGTCTGTCTAATAAATAGTCTGTAGCTGAGTCCGATAACTTGAGTGGCTTTCTCTTTTTTTCATCTTTAAATCCGTCATGCACTATTTCATTCTTTGGGAACTGCTTGGATTGTTGGAAGATGGGTGTTGGGATCAGAATAATGCAAGATTGACAAATGGACGAAAGCAGAGCAAAAACAAGACACCTACTGTTAGCAAAACCCCAAAATATTTGAACTCCTTTGACTGGGGTAAAGACTCTCCTCCCTCCTCCAACCTGGAGATGGCAAGCCAACCTTTTATGTTTGAGCATCATGGTCTCAAACTTAAAGAAGCTGATTCTCATCCCTGTCACATCACACTTGGCAGTAAACCATCTCAGCGCATGTTGAAGGTATTTGTCCAATGGAACCAGGACAACATCATCTGCAAATAGCAGAGATGAAATCTTGTGGTCCTTAGTTCAGACCCCCTCTGGCCCTAGGGTGCACCTAGAAATTCTGTCCATAAAAATAATGAACAAAACCAGTGACAAAGGGCAGCCCTGGCAGAGTCCAACGCACACCCTAGTGGGGGTACAGAGCTACTCCAGTGTTTTATGGCCTGGATGAAATCTGTATTCTTCCTCCTGGATCTGAGGTTCCAGGTTTTCAAGGGAGACTGAGGAGTGTGTTTCCCCTGTACCTGGAGCACACTCTCAACGGTAAAAACTCCAACACACAACATTTCTTCTACTCTGGAGTTACCCACTGTCAGAGGTGGCGGGCTGAATTGGGCAACTCCAGAATAGAAGACATGTTTAAAAATAAGAAAGTCCAGCCCTTCTCAAGAAGTTGAGATCCAACTCTAATCAGTGCCATTGAATCTCTAGCTCAAGCTGCTTAGGCTCCTTTCCTCCCAGTTAAGTGACATGCCATGTCCCAAGAGCCACCGCCAACCTAAAGGTGCAGGGAGGCAGCCCTCTTTTGCCGGCAAACACTCCAACACACAACATTTCTTCTTCTCTGGAGTGACTCGCTGTCAGAGGTGGCTGACTGGATTAGGCAACTCCAGAATAGAAGACATGCTAAAAAATAATAAAGTCCAGACCTTCTCAAGACGTTGAAATGCAACTCTAGTCAGTGCCATTCAACCTCTAGCTTCAGCCGCCTAGGCTCCTTTCCTCCCAGTGAGGTGACATTCCATGTCCCAAGAGCCACCGCCAAACTTATAGTAGCTGATTCTCATCCCTGTCACGTCACACTTGGCAGTAAACCATCTCAGTGCATGATGAAGGTATTTGTCCAATGGAACCAACAGGACAACATCGTCTGCAAATAGCAGAGATGAAATCTTGTGGTCCTTGGTTCAGACCCCTTCTGGCCCTAGGGTGCACCTAGAAATTCTGTCCATAAAAATAATGAACAGAACCAGTGACAAAGGGCAGCCCTGGCAGAGTCCAACGCACACCAGGAGCAATTTTGACATTGCCAGCATCGCTTAACAGAGCATTTCCGAACCCATACTTCTACAGCACCCCCCACAGAATGCCACAAGGGACAGAGTCAAATGCCTTTTTCCAAGTCCACAAATTATGTGGATATACTCCCATGAAACGTAGCACACCCTAGTGAGGGTACAGAGCTATTCCTGTGTTTTATGGCCTGGATGAATTCTGAATTCTTCTTCATGGGTCTGAGGTTCCAGGTTTGCAAGGGAGACTGAGGAGTGTGTTTCCCCTGTAGCTGGAGCACACCCTCCGGCCCCCCTTCTTAAAATGACAACCACCACCCCAGTTCCCAAGTTCAGAGGTACTGTCCCTGACCTTTACAAGATATTGTAATGGTTTGCCAGAATCTCTTTGGGGATGACTGATATTCTTTCTCCATGGTCTCTTCAAACTCTTCCCAGACCAGTTTCTGCTTGCACAACTGCCCAGATAACACTTGGTTGCCATCAGCTGCCTCAGGAGTCCTACAAACCTGGTGGGACTCCTCCTTCAGCTTGACAGCTTCCCTTACTTCTGGTGTTCACAACTGGGTTTGTGGCATGCCACTATGACTGGCACCACAGGCCATTTCAACCATGTAGTCGGAGAACATGGACCACTTGGCCTCAATGTCTCCCACCTCTCTTGGGGTCTGGTCAAAGTTCTTCCAGAGGTGAGAGCTGAAAATCTCTTGGACGTGTTTCAGCCAGACATTACCAGAGGAACCTCACAATATGTTTGGGCCCAACAGGTCTGTCCAGCCTCCTCCTCTGCCAGCAGATACAACTCACCACCAAGTGGTGATCAGTTGACAGCCCTGCCCCTCTCTTTACTTGAGTGTCCAAGACATATGATTGGAAATCAGATGAAACAATTACACAGTTGATCATCGACCTTTGGACCAGGGTGTTCTGGTGTCATGTGCATTGATGGACACCCTTATGGTGTTTGTTATGGGCAAACTATGACTTGCAAAGAAGTCCAACAACAGAACACCACTCTAATTCATATCAGATAGGCCATTTCTCCCAATCCCCAGGTATCACTGTTGTTGTTACCCACATGGGTGTTGAAGTCCCCAAGTAGAACAATAGAGTCAAAGCACCTTCACGCACCCCTTCCAAGGACTCTGAGAAGGCCAGCTACTCTGCACTGGTGTTTGGCCCATAAACATAATACTACAGTGAGAAACTTATCCCCAACCTGAAGGTGCAGGGAGGCAGTGCCATGCAACCTCTAGCTCAAGATGCTCAGGTTCCTTTCCTCCCAGTGAAATGACATTCCATGTCCCAAGAGCCACCGCCAACCTGAAGGTGCAGGGAGGCAGCCCTCTCTCACCGGCAATAACTCCAACACACAACATTTCTTCTACTCTGGAGTTACCTACTGTCAGAGGTGGCTGGCTGGATTGGGCAATTCCAGAATAGAAGACATGCTAAAAAATAAGAAGGTCCAGCCATCTCAAGACATTGAGATCCAACTCTAGTCAGTGCCGTTCAACCTCTAGCTCAAGCCGCTCAGGTTCCTTTTCTCCTAGTGAGGTGACATTCCATGTCCCAAGAGCCACCGCCTATATTTCACAGTGCACCGGTGCCTAGATGGCCCTATGTCATGCCGTCCGCTGAGCTGACCGGGTTCCATGGGCCAACAGGGACTGGCATATGAGCCCCAATCCCAGACCTGTTTATTGTTTTATTATTATTCTAATTAGAAGTAATAGTTGTAGTAGTATTGAAGTATTTGTCTGATTCTGGTACATAGTAAGCTGATGTGGAAAAAAACAAGAAAAACAACCATCTGCCACATTCTGTTTTTCAACCATCCGCCACATTCTGTGTTTATTATCCACACTTTAACATAAAGTGCTCTGTAATCTGAGTGACAGCATTCTGGATTTTGGCTTTTGCTTCTATGGTTGCTCTGAGCTGTCAAAACACCTGTGAAAATGCTTTTTATGGGTATGAAAAGCAGGAAAAATGTAACCTATACATTTTTTATGAAAGATGAAAGTTTCGAAGGCAGTATGCAAATGCTATTCACACAAAGGTGAGCTTAAATGTATTTATAGTGTGCCTAAATTCACAGATTCAGTTAGCAACTAACTTTTTTTTCCCTACAATGGAAGTCAGTGGGTTTCATCAACCAGCGTTGTGTTTAAATATCTTGTTTGTGTTCAACAGAAGAACTGAAAAGACATAATGGTTTTAAACCATAAAGATTTTACTTTTACTAAAATAGGATCAACACATTTGATGACATTACTCTTCTCTCTTCTCTTCTCTACTCGTCATCAGATATTCTGTCCAATCAAATTCTCTCTAGTAGTGCCCCACCCCTGCATTATAAACATGTAATAAAGCTGTTGCTGGAATCTGTTTCCGTTCACACAATTACTTCATTCTGTGTGGTGAACCACGCACTATATAGGGTGTAAACTATTCAGACAATGTAAATTTGCTTTCCATTGGGGTGATTGAAGTCTGGTTTTGTATTAGTGTCTCTATAAACAGGCCAGTCAGGACTAACAGCCTCCCACTGCAAGCTTCAAGGCCATAAACAATCGTAGTTGTCTGGGATTCTTAATAAGTGCATCCAGACAGTGCAAACGTTTTGCTGTAAGGCAGTAGATAATATACTGAAAACTCAGAAGCTTTCCTGACCTAAAAAATATGTTTTAAAAAGCAGAAGCTGAAGTGCTACAATCAAAATGCTGCATCTTGAGATTGTAAAACATGAACTAAAGGTTTCTCGCTGACACTTTGGAATAATTTTCTTCAGTTTTTAATGATTTGTTTAACATTACAACTGACTTGACAAATTAAATGTGCTGAGTTAGATACGTAAATTATAAGATTTTTATATTACTACTGGAAAATAACATGCATTTTGTAAACTTATAGAATATATATATATATATATATATATATATACACATACATACATACAT